GATACTCCAAGTCGAAAATGCATCTCTAAGCTGGAGCAGCCTCCAGCTCAGGGATTCTGAGCCCTAGCCACCTTCTGAATAACCTGGAGTTTTCTTTTCTTTTCCTTTTTTTTTTCTCTTTTGGTTTTGTTTTTTCTTTGTTTGCTTGTTTCTGAGAAGGCAGATTACCAAACTGACCTGAGACCATTCTTCAGATGGCCTGCAGTGAGGCCCCACTCTGGCACATGGGATCTGCTGTTCCAGGCACTCTTGGCTTTCTCTCAGTTCCTTCCTCCTGTGTCCATGCTTTTGGAAGGACTGGGCTGCGCCTTTCCACCCCTCATCACTCCAGCCCCTCGGAGCTCCTTGCCACAGGACCTTCAGTCCCACTATTGACACCGCTCCCCTGCCAACCCCGTGGCCTTTTCTCTGTACAACACAGGATGCTGACAATCACCCACACCTTGCAGTTCAGCTCCCTCAAGTTCTAGGGAACTCCAAGGATGAAGAGAGAGAAGAAACCAATCTGAGTCCATTCTCTGCTCACACCTCCCAACCACCCCCTCCACACAGCCATCCCCTCCTGCTGCAGGGATGGGCCCTGTGCCCCAAACTGCTCCTCCTCTTGCGTTCTGGACACCAGTACCCCAGAGCCAATGGATCCCAAACAAACTCATCAGCCTTGCCCCACACACAGGCCTCTCTGCCTTCCTAGTCTCTGACATTCTCCAGGTTCTTAGTCATTCTTAATTCTTCCATCTCTTCCATTGATTAGGCACATTGACCACAGGGAGGGTAACTGCACAATTTTCAGGGCACCTTGTGCATGAAGTAGAAATAGTATCTTTAAGACAAATAAAAAGTTTTTTCCCTTCTTCTGTGCTTTCTGGGCCTGTCATGGAATTTTTTATTTGCTGTTTAATGGTGTTCTAAGTAAAGGAAGATTACAATTTTTTACTGTTAGTACAAATCTACTGTTCATCATAGGCAATACAAATTTTTTAATGCAAATATCAGAGCATTTAGCTTTTGCATGGAAATCAATGAAATTACACAATTCATTTTTCCTGGCTTGTCCCCAGAAAATATGAACTGACCAGAGGAGGCAAACACAAGCCAGACTCAGGAAGTCTGGAAGGCCAGGATCCGTCAACCTCAACTCCTGCTCACTGACTTTGTGGGCCCTCCTAATACATGAGTATCATCAAAGATACCTCAGTTGGATTTTGATACTTTGCGTGGCCTTGTCCGACTCAGGGTCACAACTTCCAGGGTCAATCCTCTTGAGCCATAAAAATTCCTTCCAACTGATGTATCTGTGTTTTCTAATTTCTGTTTTCTTTATCTAGATAATAGATGAGACTTTAATACCAAAAAAATATACTTTTGTTTTTCACCTTCATGAGCCATAAGCTATCCCTGCTTTTATAATGTTCAAAATTCCCTTACCGACCTAATGCTTCATGTTATATATTGTTACATCAAGGTACACAATGAATAGTCAAAATGGTTGTCTTAGTTGGCAGTATAACTAGTCAATGCTTTTAATGTCCTCACAGGGGGATCAAATTCATTATCATTACCCAAGAACAGTACCTATAAATGCAGAATCATAAGATTTTGTCTGCAGTCTCTTTTAACTTATGGGTCAAAATTCAGGCTTTGCTTCATATATATTATTATTGTCTTTGTTTTAATTATATTGTTTAAATATATGCTATGTATTATATCTACATTGTTTAAATATATATTAATTATGGATCAATGGAGTGTAGAATTCCAAATTCTCCAAAGTCTTCAGAAAACACAATTACCAGTTACCTTGATTCTACAAAAAAATTCAAACTTCCCAAAGCCTGAAACACAACTAGATATACTTCAACAAAGTTTTGATTAAAAATAAATAAGCAGTTATCAAATTACATCACAATTTTTTATACTGAAAAAATGTATCATATTATTTGACCTTTAAACTATTCCCAAAAAGTTCGAGTGGAAATTTTTTTCCATTTGAAACTCATAACATTTCCAGATTCATGTGGGTTCTAACAGAACCCATTCATAAAAGACATCAGTGTTTGTTTAGGATCAGAGTGTTTAGAATCACAGCACACTACCTCGAGGTTGTAGCTATTCATAGAGGAGATCACCAAATTCTTCCCAGTATCAAATATGCCATGCCCCAACTCCCTCACTTTGCATTCTGTAGGAGTTGCATCTGTGACTTCAAGTGAATCACAAAATTACATTCTCAAAATGTAAGGTAAACTGATACATTACCTGGCTTCAATTATCAATATTTTAAATGCCTTTTAGAAGTTTTAAATGATATTTAATTCAAAACTCTGAATAAATATTTTTTATTTGGAATATTTTGGGTGGGATATGATTTTTAAAGTGAGTTGTTAGCCAAAGAAAAGGGTGGGCCCCACCTCCTGCATATCCCATCCTCTGGCCACCACTACCACGCATATCCAGAACCCAGGCTTTTTGCTTTTAGATAACATGTTTAGAGCCACACCTCATACCCAAGCTGCTATTTTTCAATTCTTCAATTTGAGATTTGTCTTCATCATGCCAAAATTAAAATTCTCCTTCAGAATTTAAAATTTTGTTAAGAAAAAGGAAGGCTGTAAAGGAGGAAGGAAGAAGGAAGGAAAAGGAGCAGAGGGAGAAAAGAAGGCAGGCAATAAATCCTTTTATCTGACAAAGAGGTTATCTCATACATTAAAGCTGAAGCGCTTACAGTTACACATATTTACATTCAGCATCTATCTGCTGCCATCTGCTAACTTAAAACTTCTCATTTAAAATACAGTGATTCTTTCAGCCCACTGGCCATCCATAATTCGGCCTTCATCTTGGACAGGGAGCTATTCCCTTTTGACCCATTGCAATTGGAAGACTCACAAGCAAAGGAGAGATGGTAGTTAACTCCCATGAAATGGGCCTCATCTGGGAAAGCCCTTGGCCTGCGTAATGCAGGTGGGGTGACACCAGAGGGCCCTGGTTCTGGGGTGTGATGTCCTGGGGCTAGAAACCCAAGATGGTGGCTGCAGGCGTCATCTTACCCCGAGGCGGTGAAGTGGATGGCTTGCTGGCCATTGCTGTGGAATCCGGAGACTGTGTCCTCTTCACAGATGCACGGTTCCAAGCACAGGAGCAAAATAGAGAGTTTATTGAGGTTTGGACAAGTACACATTTGTGTACACAGCCAGATTTTTTAAGGTGATTTTTTAAAACTTTCCCCGGTGGGGTCTGACAGAGGACCCAGGGCCGTGTAACTCTTCCTGAGGACGGCTGTGCTTTGCCCTGGGGGCTCTTTTGCAGGAGCTGAGGAAGGCCTCTGCTCAGTTTTTTTCCTCTAAGGTCCTTAAGGGACTTCTACAACCTCTTCTGGGCTTGCAGCCTGTCGCTGAGGGAGGCAGAAGGGCTGGGTCTTCGTTTTGGGGGCCTCCTGCTCCCACATGTGGGAGCTCCCACCTCTGGCAAGGAGGGGTTCTTCTAGGCCTTTTCGTTAGATGCTTGAGGACCTGAGAGTCCCAAGAACCAGCAAGAGAAGACTGTAATTTGGGGTCACCTCTCATGTGCCAGTTCCGAATTTCACAGACTGGGCCCACAATGTTTAGCATGACTCAGTCTTCAGGAACAGGGGCCTGAGAAGCACCTCCTGGAGCTCAGTCTACCCAGGGATAGGCTAGAAATCGGACACACGGGAACAAGTCCCAAAGCACTCCCAGAGGTAGGGAAGGGCAACAGAGGGAAGACTACAGATGGGAGAGGTGGGGACCCGGGCCCAGCCGGGAGGGAGGCCGCGTGGCAGCGTGAAGCTCCTACAACCTGCTGGAGACGGAACACGAGGAAAGACAGCGGCCACGAAATTCTGAATCCACTAATGGCAGTGGAGATGTTAGGGGCCGAGCCTGGGGAAGTCTGTAAATGAGTTCCCATGCTAGGAAACTTGTCTGAGCTTTCCTTTCTCCGTCCAGGAAGCCCAGGACACGTCGCTGAGAACGGGAACAGAAGGAATTTTCCAGCACTCAACACAAGATGGCACCAGACACCTGTGGATTTAATGAGGTCCTCTCCAGGTGGGCTCCAAGTTCCCTGAGGGGATCGAGTCAGGCCAAAGGAAACGAAGCAACGCATCCACGGAGAGACAGCCTAAAGATAAAACAGGGCACCAGAAAATAAGGGGGGAAATCTCTTTTTTAAGAGATGGGAAGGAGTAGCACAGAGACTAGACAGACAGAATCTACAAAACCTCTGCAAAAGGAAAATAAAGGAACATTGCTGCTGAAACTGGAGATGGGCAAGTGTGGAGAGCAGCCGGTGAGGACATGGATGCAGGGGTTCAGGTAGGGGAGGGTCGTGGCTTTGGCCAAAGATTGGTGGTGATGGAGGAAAATGCCTCTGGTGCATTTATTTACATTTACTAGTTTACATTTACTAGTGATTCAACAAGTCCAACACGACCGAATGACTCAGTAGAAATGTATTCTGTTCTTGGAGAATTCATTGTATTAGCTTTTCCTCTTTTTGTAGTATCATTATAGACTCACGACACTTCAGATTTATTGTGTCAATGGATGTCAGCCAATATTCTCCATTGGATGCTCACATTGTCCCAACTTTGGCAAGTGGGAGCCTTTTTAGACTAATTCTTGTGAAGCATCCCAGTTGAAAGGGCTGGGTGATGGGGAAAATCAGTTGGAGAGGAGAAAAGAAGGCCAGGAGAGAGGGGGTAACCAAATACTATCAGGAACTAGCCCAATGTCTGCTGCATTGCTGGGCCTCAGTAAATACATTTTGGAGATGAAGGCAGACAACAAAATAATTGAGAGAAATTTCTACATACCTACATATGCCAGCAATAATGGGGGTACACTGGGACAAATTATAGGAGGGACTCAAGCAGAGGGAAATCAAAGGCTATTTCTGGGTTCTGGGTCAAGGCAAGTGACAGAGGGACAGTTGACTCAGGGTGCAGGGGCAAGAAAGAGTTGGGGTTAAGAATGGTGTATTACTTTATGGTCTTTATTTTTACAAACTGAAAATGTCTTTCCAGTTTAGGCCAAATTAAAATTAACACATACTCTTCATGAAAGAGTCTAACAACACAGAAGCATACAAACTGGTACAGAGGAAAACATCTTCAGCATCTCATCTTCCTGCAGGGAGCCCACTCGGTGCAGAGAGCCTTTATTTTGTAGGGGAGATACCGGCACCACCTCTGGGTCGCCTAGAAGGGCTGCAGGAAGTGGGCTAGGAACAAACAAGCTTGGTGGTTCCCGAGCTAGGAGTGGGGCTAAGAAGGGGGGCACAGGCCTTGCCCATCAATCTCTTCACTCCTCCGGAAACATCGCTGCTCTGTTTCTTCTCTGATGCTGACTCTTTTCCTCTCCTGGTAGGGAGGAGGCTTCTGGAAGTGGGCCCTGGATGAACCTGCAGAGAGGGGCTGAGGACACCCTGGGTGAGCTGTCTTAAGGAAAAGCAATCCCCCCCCCGAGGGGCTGCCCATAGGTTGAGGCCTTCAGGAAGACCCAGGAGCACCCTGCCCGGGTAAGGCTTTAGCCAGATGCCTTAGTCAGGATCCTCAGGCAACCAGGGCCTGTCCCCCACTCTTCTCCTGCCCCAAGCCTTCCTGGGGGCATCCCCACAACTCTGGCCAAAGTGGTCTTCAGGGGCCTTTCTGGACTCAAGTTTGAAGATGTAACTAGAACTCCAAAGACCTTTTTTTTGGAAGAAACTGAAAATATTATCCAAGGTGACCCCTTTTGATTTTAATTTCAGACTTTAACAACTCTACAGGGAAAAGGAACATAGCAAACATCTGTCTGCATTCTCTAATCATACATAGACCTTTATCTGCTGTTCTCAGTCTGTACACACTACCCACCCTTTAGTGTATTTCATGTACCCACCCACAGTATTTGTGCACATCACAAATGTCCCATTTTTCAGGAGGACCATGGCCTCCCTCCAGGCCATGGACTGCAGAGCTGGCTGAGCCATCCAGCCCTGCACAGACATTTGGCTTGAAGTGAGATCAGAGCTGCTGTACCCATCCTTCCTTCCCGCTTCAAGCTTTCCTCCAGGAAAGTGGGCTCTCCAAGCCAGCTGGTGTACAGAGGCACCATCATTCTTGTTCCATATTTACATATTGCTCTTCAAAAAAGTTGAACCAGTTGCAAGTTGCAATGTACAGTGTCACCAGTTTCCCTATGGCTCTGCAAGTGCTGGAGATATAAATACATATATATAAACTTAATGGCTGCTCTGTTCCCCTCATTTTATAGACGAGGCAACGGAGAACCAGAGAAACTAAGTCACCTTCCCCGAGGTCGTTCAGCTGGGGAATGGCAGACAGATCCATCACCGGAGGTCGCATCTCCTGACCCCCAATCAGTGCCCTGTCTGCCAGACCTCTCTGCCTCGGACAGCTGCTTCTAGGCCTGGACACAGCAGGCTCCATTTGCTCATCTTGTCCTTTGTCCATGAAAGGAAACAGATGCATAGCCTCTCCCATCGTGGCATCTGTGCCGCGCGGACCCAGCTCTCAGCTTCAGCCTATCCCTCCGCCGTGCCTGCTAGATCCAGGGCCTGAGGAGTTCCTCAGAAGACAGCACGGCTGTGGTGCACGCCTCCGCCTCTTCCCTTCGGCAGCTGATTAACTTCTGAGGTGAACTGGTTATTTTCTGAAGAATAATTTTCATTAATATTCATTAGAGATGAATAGGAATAATAAAGTAGCAGTAGTATCTGTTATAGAGAATATCACAAAAGCCCAACTGTTTGATTAATTAATTTCCAAGCAGCAAAAAAGCCCAAAGAGTACTGTTACCCCCAGATCAGGGACTTCCCACCTTCACTGCCCCCAGCTCTCTGTTCATGCCCAGCAGACCTCTGGCTGCCCTGCTCTGACCATGCTCATCTCGCTGGGACTTGGCCCAACAAAAGCCCAGAATGTAATTCTGTCTGGTTAAAAAAAATCTGACCTTCCAGCAGAGAGCTCTGAAAATAATGACTGGTCTGCAGTGCTTTACACAAGGCACCTCACACGGTGCCCAGTCCAGAAATGGCACTCCATACACAGAAGGCCCTTCCCCACCCATATTTCATGTTCCTACCACCTTCTCCCTGTGTCCCCAATACATAATCATAACTGGCTGTAAAAATGCAGACACCGTCTTCTCAGAGGGACAATCTCAACTGTTGCCAGCCTGCTCACCTGCCCAAATTCACTGGGTTTGTCTCCAATTATCTCCCCACAGCCCATACCCTCATCACTCCACAGAGTGGCACACAGGCACAGTGGGTTCCTCCACTTCAGCCCCCAGAGACATCGGCTTCATGCAGCCAGTTGCCCTTGATCCTTATTTGCAGAGAGAGGTGGCTAAAGGGCTCACTCTTCATGTCTGTGTGCAGATAATGGGAAAGGACAGTGTATAAGCAGGGCTCACAGCACAGCATGTCAGTGGAGAGCCCACCATCAGCTCACTGTTGCTGGGCCCGTCAGATTCTCAGGACACTGGCTACCTAAGTCTGCAGTGGTTATACTGGATCATTTTTGAAATTCTAGAACAACACTGTCCAGTTCAAATGTCATGTGAACTACACCAGCAATTTTAAATTCTCTAGTAGCACATTTTAAAAAGTAAAAACAGGTGTAATTACATTTTATTTTTAAAGTAAAAATCTTATTTTACTTTAAAAATAAAAATAATATTTCAACATGTGATCAATATGAAAATATTAATGAAACAGGTCTTCAAAATCCTTTGGGTATTTTATATTTTATGTTTACAGCACATCTCACTGTGGACTAGCTACATTTCAAGTGCTTAATAGTCCTATATGGAAAATAGCTACTGTATTAGACAGTGTAGCTTTAGAACATGAAAATAAAACAGCATAATCTCAGAATTTCAGAAGGTGTGAAGCTGTTGTCCCCGGCAGGTTAGAACAAACTTTCAAGCAAAGTTCAGTTCATTTTTTTAATTTGAATTCATTTTCAACACTAAAAAGTTAGGAGATTTCTCATAAAAGCCTGATTCCTGGTTTCTCATTTAAAACCTGGGGATCTGGTCACACTGGCTCCCAATTCCCTGGGCAGCGACCTGCTGGAGATGAGAAGTGGCTGCTTTCTTTAGCGGGAACATACTCGCCGTGGTCTCCACCCTCTCCCCCGGACTGAATCACATTCACTGTTCTGCGGATTCTTCTTTTGCTTTTGCTTCTTTAACTCTCTGGGCCCCAGTAGTAACTTGGCCCACAAATTCCTCTTTCTACAAAGAACACAAAGTCATATTTGGGATGGTCCATTGAAGAATGACTAAGTTGGGGCCATCTTTATGCTTGCTACCCACATTACAGAGGAATATGACAGCAAGAAGAGAAAGAATAAAGTGAGTCAGGGAAAGGAGAGAAAGACTCTTTAGCGCAAATTCTCCATCCCATAAAGCAATTAGGGATGAAAGACAAGGAAAATAAATTATATTTTTAAATAGGTACCTTACACTGCTGTCTTAATATGACTTGCCTTGCATATATATGTTTGCTTTAGACTATTACATGGTGGCATAAATTAGAATGGAAAGAAATTCTTAATGGTATGTTTCAGGTACAACCATCACCAACCATGAAATTATAGATGTAGACATGAAATGTTACATCCAAACAGATAAATTAAACACAAACTCAATAGGGCTCTTTGAAGAATTGTCAAGGATTTTCACTTGGTAATTTTCCATGGTTTAATTGAAAAAGATGTATGGATTTTGCAAGGATGGCTGGAAGTTGCTTTTTAATAGTTGGGAGAATTATCTATAACTAATGCAAATGTTGAAGTGAAGCTAGGCTGTGCTAAAGTCAAGGCTGAGAGGAGGAGATGGCAGTGGAGATGTATAGCTCCAGAATCTGTTTGGGATTTAACGGATATTAGTGGTCTATTTTCACACAGCACTGTGGGAAATGCATATATGCAGACAAATTGTTCACTTTAAAAATCTAGAGAGAAACTCTCCTGAATATAAACATGAGCAACTTTTTCATGAACATATCTCCTGGGGCAAGGGAAACAAACACAAAAATGAAGAAATAGGACTATATCAAACTAAAAAGCTTCTGTACAGCAAAGGACACCATCAGTAGAACAAAAATGCATCCTACAGTATGGGAGAATATATTCATAAATGACATGTCTGATAAAGGGTTGACATCCAAAATATATAAAGAGCTCATGCACCTCAACAAACAAAAAGCAAATAATCCAATTAAAAAATGGACAGGGGATCTGAACAGACACTTCTCCAAAGAAGAAATTCAGATGGCCAACAGGCACATGAAAAGATGCTCCACATCACTAATCATCAGAAAAATGCAAATTAAAACCACAATGAGATATCACCTCACACCAGTTAGGATGGCCAACATCCAAAAAGACAAACAACAACAAATGCTGGTGAGGATGTGGAGAAAGGGGAACCCTCCTACACTGCTGGTGGGAATGTAAATTAGTTCAACTATTGTGGAAAGCGGTATGGAGGTTCCTCAAAAAACTCAAAATAGAAATACCATTTGACCCAGGAATTCCACTCCTAGGAATTTACCCTAAGAATACAAGTTCTCAGATTCAAAAAGACATGTGGACCCCTATGTTTATTGCAGCGCAACTTACAATAGCCAAGATATGGAAGCAACCTAAGTGACCATCAATAGATGAATGGATAAAGATGTGGTATATATACACAATGGAATATTATTCAGCCATAAGAAGAAAACAAATCCTACTATTTGCAACAACATAGATGGAGCTAGAGGGTATTATGCTCAGTGAAATAAGCCAGGCGGAGAAAGACAAGTACCATATGATTTCACTCATCTGTGGAGTACAACAACAAAGCAAAAACTAAAGGAACAAAACAGCAGCAGACTTACAGAACCCAAGAGTGGACTAACAGTTACCAAAGAGAAAGGGACTGGGGAGGGTGGGTGGGAAGGAAGAGATAAGGGGATTAAGAGGCATTATGATTAGCACACATAATGTAGGGGGGGCACCGGGAAGGCAGTATAGCACAGAGAAGACAGGTAGTGACTCTACAGCATCTTACTATGCTGATTGACAGTGACTGTAATGGGGTATGTGGGGGGGACTTGATAATAGACGGAATGTAGTAACCACAATGTTACTCATGTGAAACCTGAGCATAAAATTGTATATCAATGATACCTTAATAAAAAAAATCTAGAGAGAAACGGAATGAAAATTAAACACCTATGGAAAGGAATGCACAGAGGAACAGACACTGGAATGACGTGGGAAGGATGGAAAGGAGAAGAGAGAAGAGAGAAGCAAAAGGTAGTCAAGGTAGTGGATGCATCCTCTGAGGATAAAGGTGAACATACTGTCACAGAATATCCTTGTTTCTGGTCTCATCTAAGGTGTTTGATTTTTCCCAAAAGCTATATATTAGGGCTTGGCTTGTAATACATTAGGATTCCTAGGAGTTCTTGCCATTTGAGGGTTCTTGTGCCCCTGAAATTCCATAAGGAACTGACTTCACATGGTTCTTTCCCTAGCCCTTAGTCGGTTGCTCACTAAAAGACGCTGGGTCTTGGAGGGATCCTAGTGCCCCTGATTCTGAGGTGGGGGCAGATTCTGCAGGGTGGCTGAAGGTAGGACCAGAAGAGGAAGTGGGGGAGCGTGCTCCTAGGGGAACAGCCTGTGGGTACAGGGTAAGTGCGGGCAATGGAGTTGAGGAGAAAACCACAAAGGGTGACTACCTGATGGAGTCCAGCTGAGGAGACTGAACTTTCCACTACGGGTGGAAAAGAGCCAGCACCTGCCTGAGCCAGGAATGGCCCCCAGCTACCACTGTCTTCACTGCACTGGCTCAGGGAACCCTCCTTTATTCAGGGTTTCACTTCTACTTATGGCAGAGGAGCACCAATCAGGCTAATCCTACAGATAACTTCAAAACTGACCAGAGTATAAAACCATCTCTCTTAGGTCACTGTAGAGCCACGGAAAGTTGACACTTGGAAGAAGAGAATGTCACCGGGTGAGTTTTCCTTATTTGATAGTCCCTCGTCTGCAGGCAAATTTCTCTGGGGGCTGTGAACAATTAAAGTATTACTGGCTTGAAAAACCAGAAAACAGATCAGGGTGCAAACACAGAAGCTAGAAAGTAAGAGGACCACTGTCAAGTGTGAATAGACTAAAATTCCCATTAAATGTCAGAGATTGGTAGAATGGGTTTATTAAAAAAACTAAAGAAAAAGGGAAAGAAAAAAAGACCAATTATATGCTGTTACAAGAGACACATTTTAAATATGAGGACAAAGATTAAGTTCAAAGTATATGGAAAGACGATACACAATACAAACAGTGAACAAAAAAGGGCTATACTGATATTAGGATAAGGAATATTGCCAGAAACAAAGACGGAGATTTTATGATAATAAAAGACTCAATTACTCAGGAAGACAGATCAGTCATAAATATGCATGCACCTAAAGCAGAGTTTCAAAATACATGAAGGAAAATTGAAATAAGAGGAAAAACAAACACATGCACACCCATGGTTGGAGATTTTGTCATCTCTTTCTCTCAATACTAATAGAACTATACCCAAAAATCTGACCAGGATTATCAAACATTTGGACCCAGTTGATATTTATAAGACACTACCCCAACAACTACAGAATACACATCCCTCTATGCTTCAGGGAATTTGAGCCCCTCAAGTTCTTGCTGAAGGGGAGCAAGGCCGGCACTGACCACTGTGTTTGATGTTTCATGTTTAGCGGTAAACCACTCAGTCATCAGTGTGGGCTGGTGGGGGAACCAATGAAAAGTCCATCCATTCAGTAAGCATTATGGAAAAAGGGAAATGGAATGCCTCAAGACATGGAAAGCCTAAAGGGTCCGGTGCTTAACTCTGCACTAGTGTCAGAACCCAGAAGTACTGGGAGAAAAGAAAACTCACATCAGGATAAGAGGGTGGAGAGTGTCCTGAAGACTGGGATACACAGGGGAGGATTACACTGGGTTACACAGAGAGGATTATTCCTCTTGTGCAGGGAGAACATGGCCGAGCTCTTGGGGCCATGCAGATGCCATAAGAATGACACCCTCCAGAGAGACTCCAGGCTGAGGAGGAGCTACGGGAATGTACAGGCTGCACAAGGTTCCAACTCTAGTTGCTTCTAAGAAGCTGACAGCTTACTCCCTCAGGTGACAGAGATGGGTTTGTTTTTTTCCTGTTGTTGCGTGGGTTTGTTATTTGTGTGTGTGTACTTCTTTGTGTGTTGAGGTCTGGGGGCCCAGAAGGCAGCCGGATGGAATGTGGTGGGGGAGCCGGGCTGCTGGAGGCCTGCTCTGGCTTCCCTCCTGCCCTGGCATGGCTACACAGGGCCTCTCTGCCTCTCTCCACTGAAGAGACACACACCTGTGGGCCACTGTCGGTACGAGTAAGAATCCTGGGCTTTCAAGGGTAGGAAACAGGTGGGGACCCCGGACTTTGAAGTAAATGAGCAGGTCCAGACTGACCCCCACACACAGGCGAAGCAGAGTCCATGCCTCCCACTTTCACACATGAGCACTTCACCCTGAGAACCTTTGGCATACAGATTGAATATGGTGATATCAGAACATGTTACCAGATGCAGCTGCTGCTATAATTATGGGAGGGGACCAAGAGCACTCAGCAGGCCAGCCTGGAAGGGTACGAGTGCACATTGACACCTGAAATGCCAGCACCCCGGGCTGGGTAACACACCCGCTCTCCTGGCCATGCCAGGTCCTGCAGGCAAGCAGCAGGGGCCTGCTGGGGGCCTGCGTGAGTCACTACGCTCTGAAGAAGGGAGGTCTCTCCCAGCCACTATGATTAGAAGTGAAGTAGTGTAAGTGTTCTTCTTCCCTCTCTGTGCAAATACTTGTAAAGCCAGAAATGTGTGCCCATGCCCAGCTAAGGCCCAGTCTCCACCTGATCAGTGTCATGCTGAAAGGAGGCGAGAGCAGCATTACCAGGGTGTTGGGAAGCACCACCACGGGGCAACAGGAGTGGCGGAGCAGCCGGCCCATCTTCCAAATGGAGAGCAGCACAGCCACCAGGATCAGCAGAAAGCCAACAAACGCAAACAGGGCCAGCGCCAGCGGGAGGGGCTCTCCTGGAAAGGAAAAGATAGGAACAGGTTTAGGAGACAACAGTGGCGATGAAACTGCCAGTCTGGGTCTCTCCCTCACTTTCCTGGAGTTGGCCCTGCACATTGGCCAAGACGCAGATGCCAACATCGTGAGATTTGATGTGTGCTGTAGTGACTAAAATTACAACCATTAAAAAAACATTTTTCTACATTCCAGATTAATGCTTGGTTTCCAGAAAGCCCCAGGGAAGATTACAATCTTTTCTTGGAAAAGGAAATGGAGGAACATCATCTGTGAAGCCATGGCTGTGCTAGCACATATCTTGGCACGGCCGCCAGGAGGAAGGCAGAGCACCAGGCCTGGGGCAGGACAAGGGGGACGGGTCCAAAGAGAACAGCACAGAAGGGAGCTGGGCGGTAACTGAAAACAAAGTGTGTTTCACAATTTGCTCTTGGCATTGATTCATATTATGGAGGAAAATCCTGAGATCGGTAAACATCATATAATAACTATGATATATCAGGCCCCTGCTACGGTTCAGTGACTCACTCCAGATCACACAGCTCGGGCTGGCTCCAAAGCCTGGGTGATTCTACTACGTAAATGTATCAGAAAGCGCTGAGTGTGTCCATCTGGAGATACAGAAGGGGGCTGGGTTGTTTTCCTATCTCCCTGTTCTACATGACCTCAAGCAACTCATGAGCCCCCGGGGCCAGACTGCTCATCTGCCGTGTGAAAGGTGGCCCAGCAAGGGAGGCCGTGGAGGAGCTGGGCACCGTACTTTGTTCAATACTTTTGGAAAACATTTTGGCAGTATACATCAAGAAATAAACAAATGTTTGTACCCTTTCAACCCACTCCTGTGAGTGGATTCCAGAAAATAATTCCAGCTTAAAGCAGTTCATAGCAGCCTCTGGATGAGAGCAGCAGCCTCATAACCAGCCTCCTCTCTGCCTGCAGTGGCATGCCTCCACCTCCAGGCAGGCTGTGGTCTATTTTCTTCATAGCAAGTACCACTAAGAGAAACCATCTCATTTGTTTACTTTTTGTACCCTGTATCCCCACGAGAGGGTCAGCTCCACGAGGGCAGGGACTTCTCTGCTATATCCCAGGGACGAGGCCAGGACTTGGCACACAGTCAATGCTCAAAAAGCATTCAGTGAATGAATCAATGAATCAATGAGCATTATCTTCAAAAGCAAATGAAAATTATTAAAACATGGAAGTGATCTAAATACCCCTAAAATAGGGATGATTTAATATATTATGGTAGGTTCGGAATATAGCTATTAAAATGAGAATTAGGATATATATACAAGCTTGTTCACTACAGCATGGTTTATAGTGGCAAAAGACTGGGAAGCACAAGAATATACCTGTTAACAGGAGGATGGTCACATATATTTTGGCTCATCCATGTATCTTCTTTAACAATGAGGTAGATCCATATGGACTGACATGGAAAGATGTTCACAACATCACACTGAGTGAAGACAAGTGACGGACAGAACAGTAGGCACAGTACTGCCCCATGTGCGCCTGCAAGTACTGGTATCACACAAAGACTGGAGGAATAAATGCCTGAGTGCCAGAGGAAAGCTCCTGAGTGGTGTGGGGGAACGTGGAGAACATGTGCTTTACTTGACATTCTTCGGTGTTGTTTGAGTTCTATAGCAAGCTTGACTAATATGGTTTTAAAAGTAATACAAAATGCTAATCAGAAAATCTACATGGAAAACATTATGGATATGATGTTTGTTGAAAAGCAGGCACAGAATATGTGTGCAAGACAGCTTCCTCATGTGTCTACACACGGGCAATGCTAGAAAGGTAACACCCCTCTGGAGGGCAATTTGGGAATGTCAGTCAAAATTTGAATGTGTATGCCTTTGACCAAGCAATTCTATCTCCAGGAATTTATCCTTCAAATAGATACGTATCAACAAATGATCTATGTACAAAGTAATTAATTAAAGCATTACTTTATTTGCTACTAATATAATAGCAAAATATTGGGGAAAAACTAAATGACCATTAATAGGGGACTAACACTAGTTAAATTCATTATGTATACATACTATAGAACACTATGTAGCTGTAAAGAAGGATGAAGAAGTTTTTTATAGGTATGGAAAATCTACAAAAAATTAAAGTGAAAAAGATAAGATTCAACACAGTGCATAGAGTATGCCACCATTTGTGCTCAAAATAGGGAAATTTATACAAATACATTCTCTTTCATTGTGTATGCATGCAAAAGTCTTTAGAAGGATATGCAAGAAGCTAATACCTATGGGGTGGGAATCATAAGGATGGGGAAGAGAAGTAGAGAGTTTCCATGTGTGTCTTATATTTTTTGAACCACACAGAAGTTCTAAAATTTAAAATAATGTTTTTTTAAAGACTAAAAAGTTAGACATAAAAATGTTCCTAGTGGTGTTTGAGTGGCAGAATCATGGGATGTAGGGGTTTGTTTTGTTTCTTTTCAAAGAGTTTTTAAACACTGTAGATTTTTTCACCATAACATTTCAAGGGAAAAAATTAAGCAAAACAAGAGGCTTCTATAGATACTGGGGCAGGATGAGGGGGACATGTCCAAAGAATAGATCCAGCTGGAAGCAGCTCTGATATACCACAGGCAGCCTCCTCACAGGGCCTGACTCTCTGGCAAGCTGCCCAGATTCACAGGCACTTGCCATCTGGTAAACCAGCCTTGCAACCTACAGGCCTAGAGAGCCTTCAGGGGAAAGCATTCCAGACAGCTGCTCAACTGGCCCCAGCAGGGACCCTCACCTCTGGGGGTTGACACTGAAGCATACTTTCACCACAGGAACCCACCCACCTGGCAGCCCGTCAGTAAAACCAGGGAAGGCTTAGAACCAAAGGAACCCAGCAGGCAACCAAGCACCCACCAGGAGGGCTGTCACCTGTGCAGGGCTCCAGGAACAGACAGGCCAGCCTTACCTTGCACCTTAACACACTGTGCCCGGCTGAAGGTGCTGTGCCTTCCGATGGCCTTTACCAATGTCTGGGCCTTCACACAGTACGCAGCCCCCGGCTCCATGGTTTCCAGGTGCACTGGAACAGCCCCGCTCCTCACCATCTTGACATGCTCCTTTAGGAGACCAGACTACAGTTACACCCTGAGGGAAGCAGGACAGGAAAGGGCAAGAACCAGGGAAGGAAAACTGCAAGTATTTCCTTTCCAAGATGCATCCAGAATGTTCCCTCTCATTCACTCATGTTTATTGTTAATCATACTATGCACCAGGCACTGTTGCAGGCACTGAGACACAGCACTGAGCAAAACAGAGACAGTCCCTACTCTCCTAGAATTTACCTGGAGGAGACAGACACATATAATCCTCATTGGGTGGGGTGGGGTGGGGTAAATTCTGGTAGAATTTCCAGAATATCCCCACAGGGCTTTAGTCTATTTACATATCGATAGGTATTTACCTCTGCAGCCTCCAGCAGCCAGAGGGGATGGGGAAGAGCAAGGGGCAAGGGGTGGAAAAACAGCCGTTCTCTCCTCCCCTCCCTTTTTGATAAGTAATTGGTCTGGTGCCTGCCAGTCGCCAAGGACCTGCCCACAGAGGTACCCCCAAAAGGGGCAGGCAGGGAAGTGGGAGTGCAGGCAGTGGCTGCAGACGCCTGAAGGGCCAAGTGGGCTTCTAGGAGGGAGAGTGATGAGGAGGCCCTGGACGGAGTGGTTAAGGTGGGCCTGCCTGATAGGTGGCATTTGGGCAGGGACCTGAAGGTGGGAAATCTGATGGAGCCAGGGGCTTGGCATGGCCACTGCTGCCAGGGCATCAGTGCACAGGAGCAGCAGAGCAGATGGGCAATGCCTCCTCATGCGTGCATCCGTCTACCCGTCTGTCCATCTGTGCATCCCTCCACCTCCACCTGCCGCTGAGGCCCGTGCTCCACATCTGAGCCTGTGGAGGCTTGCCTGGGCCAAGCCCAGATGACTCAGGGTACATGACTCCTCTCTCAACGCTGGCACTGCCAGTTACCAAGGGTACAGAAAGCCCCAGGGAAGATTACAATCTTTTCTTGGAAAAGGAAATGGAGGAACATCATCTGTGAAGCCATGGCTGTGCTAGCACATATCTTGGCACGGCCGCCAGGAGGAAGGCAGAGCACCAGGCCTGGGGCAGGACGAGGGGGACGGGTCCAAAGAGAACAGCACAGAAGGGAGCTGGGCGGTAACTGAAAACAAAGTGTGTTTCACAATTTGCTCTTGGCATTGATTCATATTATGGAGGAAAATCCTGAGATCGGTAAACATCATATAATAACTATGATATATCAGGCCCCTGCTACGGTTCAGTGACTCACTCCAGATCACACAGCTCGGGCTGGCTCCAAAGCCTGGGTGATTCTACTACGTAAATGTATCAGAAAGCGCTGAGTGTGTCCATCTGGAGATACAGAAGGGGGCTGGGTTGTTTTCCTATCTCCCTGTTCTACATGACCTCAAGCAACTCATGAGCCCCGGGGCCAGACTGCTCATCTGCCGTGTGAAAGGTGGCCCAGCAAGGGAGGCCGTGGAGGAGCTGGGCACCGTACTTTGTTCAATACTTTTGGAAAACATTTTGGCAGTATACATCAAGAAATAAACAAATGTTTGTACCCTTTCAACCCACTCCTGTGAGTGGATTTCAGAAAATAATTCCAGCTTAAAGCAGTTCATAGCAGCCTCTGGATGAGAGCAGCAGCCTCATAACCAGCCTCCTCTCTGCCTGCAGTGGCATGCCTCCACCTCCAGGCAGGCTGTGGTCTATTTTCTTCATAGCAAGTACCACTAAGAGAAACCATCTCATTTGTTTACTTTTTGTACCCTGTATCCCCACGAGAGGGTCAGCTCCACGAGGGCAGGGACTTCTCTGCTATATCCCAGGGACGAGGCCAGGACTTGGCACACAGTCAATGCTCAAAAAGCATTCAGTGAATGAATCAATGAATCAATGAGCATTATCTTCAAAAGCAAATGAAAATTATTAAAACATGGAAGTGATCTAAATACCCCTAAAATAGGGATGATTTAATATATTATGGTAGGTTCGGAATATAGCTATTAAAATGAGAATTAGGATATATATACAAGCTTGTTCACTACAGCATGGTTTATAGTGGCAAAAGACTGGGAAGCACAAGAATATACCTGTTAACAGGAGGATGGTCACATATATTTTGGCTCATCCATGTATCTTCTTTAACAATGAGGTAGATCCATATGGACTGACATGGAAAGATGTTCACAACATCACACTGAGTGAAGACAAGTGACGGACAGAACAGTAGGCACAGTACTGCCCCATGTGCGCCTGCAAGTACTGGTATCACACAAAGACTGGAGGAATAAATGCCTGAGTGCCAGAGGAAAGCTCCTGAGTGGTGTGGGGGAACGTGGAGAACATGTGCTTTACTTGACATTCTTCGGTGTTGTTTGAGTTCTATAGCAAGCTTAACTAATATGGTTTTAAAAGTAATACAAAATGCTAATCAGAAAATCTACATGGAAAACATTATGGATATGATGTTTGTTGAAAAGCAGGCACAGAATATGTGTGCAAGACAGCTTCCTCATGTGTCTACACACGGGCAATGCTAGAAAGGTAACACCCCTCTGGAGGGCAATTTGGGAATGTCAGTCAAAATCTGAATGTGTATGCCTTTGACCAAGCAATTCTATCTCCAGGAATTTATCCTTCAAATAGATACGTATCAACAAATGATCTATGTACAAAGTAATTAATTAAAGCATTACTTTATTTGCTACTAATATAATAGCAAAATATTGGGGAAAAACTAAATGACCATTAATAGGGGACTAACACTAGTTAAATTCATTATGTATACATACTATAGAATACTATGTAGCTGTAAAGAAGGATGAAGAAGTTTTTTATAGGTATGGAAAATCTACAAAAAATTAAAGTGAAAAAGATAAGATTCAACACAGTGCATAGAGTATGCCACCATTTGTGCTCAAAATAGGGAAATTTATACAAATACATTCTCTTTCATTGTGTATGCATGCAAAAGTCTTTAGAAGGATATGCAAGAAGCTAATACCTATGGGGTGGGAATCATAAGGATGGGGAAGAGAAGTAGAGAGTTTCCATGTGTGTCTTATATTTTTTGAACCACACAGAAGTTCTAAAATTTAAAATAATGTTTTTTTAAAGACTAAAAAGTTAGACATAAAAATGTTCCTAGTGGTGTTTGAGTGGCAGAATCATGGGATGTAGGGGTTTGTTTTGTTTCTTTTCAAAGAGTTTTTAAACACTGTAGATTTTTTCACCATAACATTTCAAGGGAAAAAATTAAGCAAAACAAGAGGCTTCTATAGATACTGGGGCAGGATGAGGGGGACATGTCCAAAGAATAGATCCAGCTGGAAGCAGCTCTGATATACCACAGGCAGCCTCCTCACAGGGCCTGACTCTCTGGCAAGCTGCCCAGATTCACAGGCACTTGCCATCTGGTAAACCAGCCTTGCAACCTACAGGCCTAGAGAGCCTTCAGGGGAAAGCATTCCAGACAGCTGCTCAACTGGCCCCAGCAGGGACCCTCACCTCTGGGGGTTGACACTGAAGCATACTTTCACCACAGGAACCCACCCAGCCTGGCAGCCCGTCAGTAAAACCAGGGAAGGCTTAGAACCAAAGGAACCCAGCAGGCAACCAAGCACCCACCAGGAGGGCTGTCACCTGTGCAGGGCTCCAGGAACAGACAGGCCAGCCTTACCTTGCACCTTAACACACTGTGCCCGGCTGAAGGTGCTGTGCCTTCCGATGGCCTTTACCAATGTCTGGGCCTTCACACAGTACGCAGCCCCCGGCTCCATGGTTTCCAGGTGCACTGGAACAGCCCCGCTCCTCACCATCTTGACATGCTCCTTTAGGAGACCAGACTACAGTTACACCCTGAGGGAAGCAGGACAGGAAAGGGCAAGAACCAGGGAAGGAAAACTGCAAGTATTTCCTTTCCAAGATGCATCCAGAATGTTCCCTCTCATTCACTCATGTTTATTGTTAATCATACTATGCACCAGGCACTGTTGCAGGCACTGAGACACAGCACTGAGCAAAACAGAGACAGTCCCTACTCTCCTAGAATTTACCTGGAGGAGACAGACACATATAATCCTCATTGGGTGGGGTGGGGTGGGGTAAATTCTGGTAGAATTTCCAGAATATCCCCACAGGGCTTTAGTCTATTTACATATCGATAGGTATTTACCTCTGCAGCCTCCAGCAGCCAGAGGGGATGGGGAAGAGCAAGGGGCAAGGGGTGGAAAAACAGCCGTTCTCTCCTCCCCTCCCTTTTTGATAAGTAATTGGTCTGGTGCCTGCCAGTCGCCAAGGACCTGCCCACAGAGGTACCCCCAAAAGGGGCAGGCAGGGAAGTGGGAGTGCAGGCAGTGGCTGCAGACGCCTGAAGGGCCAAGTGGGCTTCTAGGAGGGAGAGTGATGAGGAGGCCCTGGACGGAGTGGTTAAGGTGGGCCTGCCTGATAGGTGGCATTTGGGCAGGGACCTGAAGGTGGGAAATCTGATGGAGCCAGGGGCTTGGCATGGCCACTGCTGCCAGGGCATCAGTGCACAGGAGCAGCAGAGCAGATGGGCAATGCCTCCTCATGCGTGCATCCGTCTACCCGTCTGTCCATCTGTGCATCCCTCCACCTCCACCTGCCGCTGAGGCCCGTGCTCCACATCTGAGCCTGTGGAGGCTTGCCTGGGCCAAGCCCAGATGACTCAGGGTACATGACTCCTCTCTCAACGCTGGCACTGCCAGTTACCAAGGGTGGAGAGTGGGCTCCGTCCCAAAGAATCTGAGGAAGCTGCCTGTTCCCTCCTGCCCAGGCCCTGATCTGTCCTCCACCCCATCCTAGCCAACAATGCCAGGTCCTACCCCTGGGCCCTGACCCGGCCGGAGGAAATACTGGAAACCATTTGTATTGCTGCCCATCTCCTCACATCACCATCCAGGGGAAGCTGCCCCACCTACAACCCCTGTTGAGTAGGTGGTAGGCTTGTGCGCTGCCCAGATAACTGCTATGAGGTCAGGGGAACCCTGGACTGAGCAAGGTCCATCAGAAGACAGCCAACAACCTGTGACCCCTAAGTGTGGGCTGATAAGATGAGCAGGACCAATTGTATTTCCTCTCCTAGGAACCTGGTCTTAGGAAACTGAATGCTTGGGTCTGAAAGCAGGGACAAAGGGGAAAGGACAGAGTGTGGGGAGCCAGGCCTTAGAAGCCTCGAATGATGAGGGTTCAGGGCCTGAGGGTAAGCTGGGGAGAGGACCACCAAAAGAAGGCAATACAGAGGACCCCAGAGGGAAGTAAAGACTCCACACTAAGGTTCCCTGGGTGAGTGAGGCTATACTGTGGCCTGGCTCCGGACCAGCTCTGCCCACAGATTCTGAGAACCTCCCACTGCACCATGTCAGTCCTTATGATAAAGCACACTCTTCCTGGTGCTGCCTGGAGTGGGCCTGGTCACCCTATCAGCCCGACTGTCCCCTCACTCCTGCTCAAGCCCCACCCGATCCGCTGCTGCAGCTGCTTTGGCCTCTCTTAGAATAGCTGGCTTCCCACCCATCCCAGGCTGCAGCAACCATCCCACAGGGAGGCGCATCCCACATTGAGGCCTTCTGGAGGGCCCACAGGCTCAAAATTAGACTGATTTTTTTCATGAACCAGCTCCCAGGTCTCTGCCCCAATTTCTGCACCCTGCCCAGATACACACTCTCAAGACGCTTGTGCCAGCCTCATATGCTTTTTAAACCATCCAGTTGATCTAGAACACCCTGGTCTGTTTCTCCTAAACATGCCAGGGAGAATGGCTGAGAAGACAGTCAGTGAGGGAGAAGCATTTTTTAATGCTTGGCAAATACCTGCAGGTGCTCAAGTCTACTGAACACAGGCCCAAGTCTTCAGGGACACGTGATTCCCTATAGGTCATAGGTCAGTGATATGTACTGAACTGAAAAGGTACTGTGGGTCCAGCTTTGTTTCTCAGGGCAAGGAGGCAGCCCCCTCAAACCTGGCCTGAGAGGCTCCCAGCCAAGGCCTGGGCTGGACCACGGCACTTTTTGAAGAGGAGGCTGCCAGGATGGTCAGCCGCCTCTCCTTTCCTACCCTTCCCCAGGCCTGCTAATCCTCAGGCTACCTCCAGGCAGTGCGCACTGCAGGGGCTGGCTTTCCTCACCCACCCCTCAGAGGTTTGTGACTCCTTCCCCGATGCCTGACTCAAAGGCCAAGGCCGAAATCTCACCTTGGCACTGGGCTCTCTCCTCCAGTAGACCACGAGGAACTCAAACTGGGGCCCCAGGTCTTCCAGCTCAATAACCAGATGGAAGCCATCCTTGGTGATGTCCATCCCAGGCGGGGTGAGGACAGCTATTGGCAAGACAAGTGGAGAATCAAAGCCAGCCCGGGCCAGGACTGCCTTCTGTCCTGGAAGACCTGGACAAAGTCATTGGTGGAAACATGTCTGGCTCACGGGGAAACGGGGGTTGGACGTATCCAGAGTACACAGCATCCAGAGTAAGTCTAACCCTATCTATGGTTTCACTTTCTGTGGTTTCAGTTACCCATTGTCAACCACAGTCCAGAAGCAGGTGATCCTCCTTCTGACCTACCATCAGAAGGTCATTAGTCACCAAATGTGCTCCCTCGCAATGCCTGTGCTGTTCACCTCATCATGATGGCATTTTACCATCTCACATCTTCACAAGGGTGAGTACAGTACAATAGGGTAGTTTGAGAGACACAGACCACATTTAATTAACTTTTATTATAGCAGTTGTTATAACTGTTCTATTTGATTATCAGTTATGGCTGTCAATCTCTTACTATGCCTAATTCATTCATTAAACTCCATCATAGGCATATATGTGTGGGGAAAAACATAATGTGTGTATTTACTTATTTATTTATATAGGGATATATACATATAGGCTTCAGTACTATTCTCAGTTTCAGGTGTCCACTGGGGGCTTGGATTGTATCCCCCATGAGTAAGAGGGGCCTGCTGTATACTAACACTCTATTGTATTCAGCAAGTACTTTTTGAATGATGAGCAAAAATAAAGATAAGACTTACTACAATTCTCTTTTTCACTGCTCTCCTTGACTGTAATAAAGTCCTCTACTCCTTCTTTAGGGGCACACATACTCAGAAGAAGTGATTAAATACTCAGGTGAACATTATCTCTTTCTATTTAAAAATTTTATAATCCATGCTCCTCTTTTTACTTTTTTGGCAGAAATGGCTCCTCACCTTAGCTCATCTAAGTGAGCAGATGTTATTTTTTAATGCTTGCCAAATACCTGCAGGTGCTCAAGTCTACTGAACACAGGCCCAGTCTTCAGGGACATGTGTTTCCCTATAGGTCATAGGTCAGTGATATGTAGTGGCTGCTGAAGACTTACGAACACCAGGAAATCAGCAGCCTGTGGTTGGGTTGGCCATTCTACTCTTGGCCCAGGGATTCTTCATCTCATATCCTTAATGGGGGATGTTAGAAAGTTATGTTCCAATAATCAACTCTAGAAATTACAGTCTAAGCACAAACACCATCGTGCACAGTGCTGGAGCCCAAACACAGAGGCCAGAAGCCGCACATATACTTCCCCATGGAGACAGAGCGAGAACAGAAGGGCCCGCACAGGCGGTCTCTAGTCCCCGGCTACTGATGACAGAGCCATGCTTGCCTCTCAGATTCAGACACTGCAGGACCAGAAGGGCCACCCTGAGTGTTGGCTGTGGCTTAAGAAGCAGAGTGGGGTGTGTTATGGGCTAAATTCCCCTGTAACTAGGGACAGTGAACACTGAGAAGGGCAGGTCCTAGAGAGTTTTCAGAAAGCGAAGCTTTTCCCAGCAATGGAAGGGCTATATGGATAGGGGACAGGAGGACTCAGGAAGTTAGGAGCCGTCTGTACAAAACATTTCCGGTGCAGAGGCTTCCCATGGCCACAAGGCAGCACCAGGACCTCTGAAACACCTCCACAAGGAAAAGAGGTTTGACTCCCCATTTTTAAGTCAAATATGATTAGAATTGGATCTTCTGCTCTCCAGCTTTACTGAGAACAGAATTAGAGAAAATAACCTAGTCATTTCAGTTTAGAGGAGAATTTATTTTACAGGGTTGGGGCAGGAACCTCTCTTCTATGTACTCTACACACTCATCTTGTTTAACCCATCCAGGAAGGTTAAGAAGGTCAAGGCGAATCCTGTTATACCGATGGCATAACTGAGCCTCAGAGAGGGCAAGTGACTTGCCCAAAATCATGCAGTTAACGGCCACAACTGGAGTCCATGCCTTCACAATTTGAGACTGCTGTGTGGGGCATTTGGCCTCTGTACTAGTGGATATCAAATCTGGTTGTACATGAGAATAACCAGGGGAGAATTTTAAACTCCCAATAGACAGGATGCACACAGATCATTTAAGTCAGACTCTGTGGACATGAGCTCCGGCATAAGTGGTTCTAAAGCTTCCCTGTGACTTGAATATGCAACCAAGGTTAAGGTCCTCTGCTTCTGACAAGGTTTCCTTTTAAAAGAAGGAGATCCTTTTCAGGACAGCCTTAAAACAAGATTTTTTACATGCCTCGGTAGAAGTCAGGATAGCCTTTTTTGAAGGCAAAGGAACAGATTTAATGCCTTAGGATTAATGATTCCATCCTAGCTCTGTACCTAACTCCACCTGCACAGGGATCACACAGGACCACACCTTCCACCTTCTCGTGCAGGTACAGAGGCTCCTGTTCCTCAGCTCCTCCCACAGCAAAACCTCTCCTGTTTACACTGGCCTCAAGCCCAAGCTGTTACTGTGCATACACCCCTGCCCACATCGTTCTGTAAGCACGGCTTACCTCCATCTGGCCTGTACCTTCCAGCAGCTGCTGACAGCACCCAGCAGTGGTCTTGGCTGGAGCACAGGAGCCCAGCAGCCAGAGGGATGTAGTGCAGGTTGTCGCCCGAGCCCCACAAGCAATGCCGCCCTCCAGAGCCACTCAGCCTCCCCTGGAGCCCGGCACTGGGATTCGTCATCCTCCACAGGAACCCACATTCTGCACCCAAATGCCTGTGGGCATCCCACTCCACTGGTCCTGTTCCCGCCCATACTTCTCTTGTCCTTGGCTGTCCGGCTCTCACCTGCAGGCACCCCTGGGGCAATGATGGTAATGCTAGCAATTAGTGAATGCTAAGATGGAGCAGCACCACCCAAGCATTTACACTTCCTTCTCGTTTCGGCCCCACAACCAGCCAGCCAGGTGAACAGTTGCTCCTTACAGGTGAGCAGCCAGGGACCCAGCCACAGGTGGCCAGGCTGGGATGCAAATGACATCCATCTGACTCAGAAGGCAACTTGCCCTTCAGTCTCTCTTCACCTTCCTCAGCCCCTTCCAGCTTGCACTCCCTCTCCTAAACCTTCCTGATTTCCACCCACTCTCACACACTCCCCATAACCTTCAACTCATCCCGTTGCTGGAGATGCCACCCCCAATCTTCCTTTGGGAATCTTCTGCCACATCAAGAAGGCAGAGGTCACCGAAGACCTTTGCCTTGCGTTTCCTGCGGCTCCAGGACGGCACACTGTGGCCCATTCCTGTCTCAGAGGAGGCACCGCCCTGCTGCTCCCTCCTCCCCCAGTCCTCCTCCCACCATTCCCGGAAGTCGCTGCTCAAGGACCCGCGGAGGGCCCTGGATCAGGCCAATCAGCAGCTCTTCCATTCGCCCCTTCATGACCCCCACCAGCCCAGCGAACTCCTGGTCCCCTTCCCTCCAACCGTTTTTTACACCCTGAGGTTTCCCAGAACACTGTCCTGGGTTCTCAATGCTCTCATATCTTGTCCCCGGACAATCTCATCTGCTCGCAAGCCTTTAGCTATTAACTGTGTGTTGTGTGTCTGACCTGACCTGTCTGAACCCCAAGGCCTGATTTCCTGCTGCCAGTCAGGCATCTGTGGCACATCGTACAGGAATCTTAGGCTCAAAGAGCCTGGAGCCGGTGTCTCCATTCCTCAAGCCCAGTTGTCCCTCCCCGGCCCTCGGCCTCGGATGACATTCTTGCCAACCCGTCTGGAAGCTAGACCCATCACTGTCTCTCCCAGCAGCTGGTCCCCGAGCTCTGATCATCCTCCACAGGAACCCACATTCTGCACCCAAATGCCTGTGGGCATCCCACTCCACTGGTCCTGTTCCCGCCCATACTTCTCTTGTCCTTGGCTGTCCGGCTCTCACCTGCAGGCACCCCTGGGGCAATGATGGTAATGCTAGCAATTAGTGAATGCTAAGATGGAGCAGCACCACCCAAGCATTTACACTTCCTTCTCGTTTCGGCCCCACAACCAGCCAGCCAGGTGAACAGTTGCTCCTTACAGGTGAGCAGCCAGGGACCCAGCCACAGGTGGCCAGGCTGGGATGCAAATGACATCCATCTGACTCAGAAGGCAACTTGCCCTTCAGTCTCTCTTCACCTTCCTCAGCCCCTTCCAGCTTGCACTCCCTCTCCTAAACCTTCCTGATTTCCACCCACTCTCACACACTCCCCATAACCTTCAACTCATCCCGTTGCTGGAGATGCCACCCCCAATCTTCCTTTGGGAATCTTCTGCCACATCAAGAAGGCAGAGGTCACCGAAGACCTTTGCCTTGCGTTTCCTGCGGCTCCAGGACGGCACACTGTGGCCCATTCCTGTCTCAGAGGAGGCACCGCCCTGCTGCTCCCTCCTCCCCCAGTCCTCCTCCCACCATTCCCGGAAGTCGCTGCTCAAGGACCCGCGGAGGGCCCTGGATCAGGCCAATCAGCAGCTCTTCCATTCGCCCCTTCATGACCCCCACCAGCCCAGCGAACTCCTGGTCCCCTTCCCTCCAACCGTTTTTTACACCCTGAGGTTTCCCAGAACACTGTCCTGGGTTCTCAATGCTCTCATATCTTGTCCCCGGACAATCTCATCTGCTCGCAAGCCTTTAGCTATTAACTGTGTGTTGTGTGTCTGACCTGACCTGTCTGAACCCCAAGGCCTGATTTCCTGCTGCCAGTCACGCATCTGTGGCACATCGTACAGGAATCTTAGGCTCAAAGAGCCTGGAGCCGGTGTCTCCATTCCTCAAGCCCAGTTGTCCCTCCCCGGCCCTCGGCCTCGGATGACATTCTTGCCAACCCGTCTGGAAGCTAGACCCATCACTGTCTCTCCCAGCAGCTGGTCCCCGAGCTCTGGTCTCTCTAATTCAGCCATGTCTCTGCAGGTTAGCCTCTCCTTCCCCTCCCCCGCTCCTGGGGTGGGGACCCACCTTGGCTCAGACGGAGTCCTACCTCCTCCCCTTACTCTCCCCTGCCCTGCAACCTACTCCAGTTCCCTTTCCACACAGCAGCCTAAGTGAGTGTTCTAGAAGACAGAACTTCCCTAGACCCTCCCTTCTTCCCTGGCTCCCCTCTCCTGATTTGATCAAGCTTCATATTAAAGCCCTTCACCATTTGACCAACTGCTTCCCTTCCTCCTACATTTACACACTGGCCATTGTGTACACTCTGCATATTTGGCTACCTATCTGGATCCTTCTCTTGTTTCTTTCTCATTTTCCAGATGCTATTGCTATAGATGTTATTTATTTTCCAGAGACTGTTTCTGGGGGGCTCTGATAAACATATAGATCCTATTGCACAAAGAAGCTGCTCACACAGGCAACAAATATGGGGTTAATGAGACACCTGGTGAGAGGCAGTGTAGGGCACTGAGGCACTCCCAGGGTGGAAAGAAGCTGTCTCAGCCCCATGTCCTCACTTCTAGAGAAGCTTTCCTTCCAAGCTCCCCTCCACCTGCAGACCCTGATAGAGGTAATCAGGAACTACTTCCGAAGTCTTTTTCAAAATGAGAGAGAGGGCATGTGGGAAGCAGTTGGTAGTTTCTTAATTGGATCAGTTAGGATTGTTTGTGTTCACGTACTCTGGCTTTGCAATACTAATTTGATGCTTAAAAGAATCCCAAAGGTCTCAGTGAATATGGTGGCTAAAGGGGAGGTTGGTGGGGTGGGGACAGGGAGGAAGAAGAGAAGTGCCTTACTTGAGTTTCGATTAAAGGGGTGCTGCAGGGTGCTCCAGGCTGAGGTCTGCGAGCCCAGGGTGGCCCTGACATGGAGGTTGTATGGCACAGTGGCAGTGATGTCATCGGTGATGTCACACTCAGGGCCTTTGGTGGGTGAGCACCAGCTGCTGGGGATCCAGATGTGGCTCATGTACAGGCTCTCGTACTCTCTGGCCAAGGAGAGGAGGGCCCAGTGTCACAACAGCCCCTTCTCCCCATGCTCAGTGATGTTGCAAGTAACTGCCTCATTCACTTACTTTTTACAGTCAGCAAAATAAGCATTTGCCCCACAGCCTAGTTCCTGCTCACCCTCACCTGCCATCCACTCTTCCTTACTTCTCTTATCACCAGACCAGGGAAACTAGGCCTAAACCCCAGGCTGTCCGGGTCTCCCTCTGTCCGTCACCACCTCCATCTCAGCCGCTGTCACCCCTTGCCTTGCTGTGATCATCCAGCTCCCACTCTGGCGGTTCTTCAAGCCATTCACCATTCAGCAGACTGCGCCGTCTCCCTCCTTACTGGTTTCCAAAGCACTTAGAATGAATCCAAACTCTTCCCTTTGGCCCACAAGACTCTCTCGCCTTCTCTCTCACTCTGCTCATAACGTGATGTCCCTCCAGCCCAGCCTCTTCCACACTGCTCCAACATGGAGAGGACTTTCTACCTTAGCACCTTTGACTCGCTGTTCACTGTCTCAAATGCTCTGGCCTTGCTGATCACACTGGGTGGCTTCTTCTATCCTTCAGATATCGGTTTAAATGCTACCTCCTCAGACAGACCTTCCCAGACCACCTAATCAAAAGGAGCCACAGGGTCAGCCCTCTGTGGCAGCAGCCCTCCAGCTTCCCCCCAGCATGGTCGCTCTCTGAAATTGCCCTGGGCAGGTCTAGGATGATGGAAATATTCTGTATTTGTGTTGTTCAGTACAGTAGCCACTAGCTACATGTGGCCATTAAAAACTTGAAATGTGACTAGTACGGATGGGAAACACATTTTAATTTAATTTGATTTTAGTATCTTGTACTGGTGGCTACCACACTGGATTTCAGAGCTAGTCTGTGTATTTCTTTACCTTTTTACTATCTGTCTCCTCCTCTAAAAGTGAGCTACCCTGAACCTAGAAGAATATCTACACATGTAGGTGCTCAGTTTGAAACAATATATTTCACTGTTAATGAAATATATGGAGAACTTTCTGTGTCCCTGGCACTCCTCAACAGCTCCAAGGGCCAGAACACCTGCGGAAGAGTGGAGCCTGCTTGGGGCTGCAGGGTAGGCTCCAGGGTCATGATTTGTTTGGTTCCTAGGAGCAAACTCATAGTCAGGGAGATGGAGCTCTCCCCAGGCCCCAGAGGATCTGAGTCTCCAGTGATTGATCCACCTCAAGTCAGAGTCAAGCTCATTTCTTGAGATTTTCTTCCACCTTCAACAGTTGACTCACTGTTGAAAGAACTGCCACCAAAAAACTGTGTTCATGTATGTTTGTGTTCACAGAGAATCCAGTGTAAATCCACAGGACAATCCCCTTGCTTCTTCAACTCTCCCAATGCCCACACAGGCAAAGGAGGCAGGTCACAGAAAATAATCTGGGCTCATGAGGTCTCCTTGCGCTCTGGAATAAGGGCTGTACCTCCAAGAATCAACGACTGCCTAAGGGCAAAAACTAAAACAGACCAAAAACAAAACAAAAACCCCAAAACAAAACACCCAACTTACCCCTGGTACTCGACAGAATAGTATACTATTTCTCCGGGCACAATCACCGGGCTCCACGTCAGGAGGTGCTTCATGTTGACTGACTGTACAGAGAGGTTCTGAGGGGCGGGCAGGACCACCACTCCACCTGGAATCAGGGCAGACAGGCTTACAGGGGGGCTCCTGTCAGGGAAGCCACAGCTTCAAATTCATTTCTAATGAAAGGCCTCATGTGTTTAGGAACCAGAAACAGCTCTAATTTTATCATACTTGTGTTAATACTAAATTTTTGCTATAATCATTATAGTTCTGCCTTTGGTGATAAAATGGCACAATAATAATAATGGCTAATATTTTTGAGCCCTTATAATGTCTATCTAGACCATCAGCATCAGCTAGATCATTGCATGATTATCCCATTTAATCCTCATGCTCACACTGGAAGGTAAAGACTGTTCATTTTTCCACTGGACAAATAAGAAAGCTGAGACACACTATTAACAACCCTGTCAAATCCACCTAGATGCAGACCTTGGCTCTGCCACTTCCTAACTATGTGACCTGAAGCAGACTGCAAGAAATGGTGCCTCCCACCTCTGTGTGGCAGACCCATGCAGCCTCCTGCCAGGTTCTTATCTCCTCCCTCTGCTGCTACTGTCATCCTCGGGTACCAAAGCACATCCTTTCATGTCCCCCAACAAGGCCAAATGGGGCATCAGTTCCCAGCCGGAAAGTGCAAGCTCAGGTCTGCTGTAGAAGGAGACCTCACCCAGGTAGCCTGCAGGCCCCTGAGCCAGCTGGGACATAAGCATCTGCTCACACAGGCATGTGTGGTGTGCCCTGAGTGGGCACACAGTGGGTCTATGGTTTGCACACAGAATCAAGCAGGCCTAGGAAGCCTCATGCTCTCATAAGGACTTGGGCAGCCCCAGGCTCCTCCCTGTGTGTAACACGGGGGACAGCCTGGATCTTCTGCTATCATCTTTCTCCTCCCACTTTTACATGCTCTTCTTTTAATGCCCAACACCTGCCTCCCTTTGCTTCTACATCACAGTGATAACATTGACAGCACAGTGTGTAGAGGGCTAGGGCCCTCTCTCACAGCACTTTTCATCTCTGTGCTATCTCCAAGTTGGCACCTGCTGTTCACTATCCAGTCCTGTGACCATGAGGGGATGAGGAGTTGCTGGGGACACCCTGACTGGTGCCCTTGCCTCTTTTCTATTATAGGATGCAACCCCATCTCATTCTCAGCAACCACACCTGCCCTGGGAGGAAACACCTGGGGTAGCTACAAGGGAGGCTGACTGCCCTCCCCACCCTTAACCTTGCCATCACCCCAGGGATGGAAGGGAAAAGGGCCAGCTGCGGTGTGGTGGCACAGAGGGTGGGGCATGGTCCTCTCTTACGTCCTTCCCCTAGTAAAGTATACAAAACATTTCTCTAGTCAGAGTTGTGGGGACTATAAAGCTATAGAAATATAAAGCTACTCCATTTGTAATTTAAAACTCTCAAAAATGAAATCTCCAAGTCCAGATGGTTTCACTAGAGAATGCTACCAAATATTTAATGAAAAATAAACACCAATTTAATACGATGTCTTCCAGAAATAGAAGAGGAAAGAACACTTTCAAACTCATTTTATGAGGCCATTTATTACCCTGATAAACTGATATAGACAAAGATAGTATATTTATAAGAAAACAAAAATTTAAAAAACTACAGACCAATGTATCTCATGTACTTAGATGTAAAAACCTTCAACAAAATATTGGCAATCTAAGTTCAATAATGTCTAAAGATGATTATATACCATGACCAAGTGGCGTTTATTCTAGAGACTCAAGGCTGGTTCAACATTTGTAAAATAAATTAATGTAATCCATCGTATCAGAAAGCTAGAGAAGAAAGGTCATACAATCATATCAATTAACACAGAAAAAGCATTTACAAAATCCAACCCTCGGTCATGATTAAAAAAAAAAAAAAAA